TATTACATAGATTTATATAATTAAAATTTTATATCTACTTATTATATTCAATATCTATATAATAATAATAATTTTTAAAAATAAAAATAATAAATTATAAAAAAATAAAAATAAAAGTTAAATAAGGTCTATAGAATAAATAAATTATACACATAACAATAACAATTTGTATAAATAACAAATCTTAAATCAAATGCATAACACACATAACAATAATATCTTTATTAAACCTTTTTGTTTCTTAAATCAAATATAGGCATATATCCTTAAGTTACTTAATACCTATTGAATTGAGTACTAAATATAAATTTTTAAATATTTGTATAAATACTCAATTTAAAATTCTATACTTAAAAGTTTTTTTTTTTTTGAACAGTTTTGTCATGGAGTGGGTTCGAAACCGCCTAGGGGAGGGAGATGTGCACTTTTCAATGGCTCTAGCCACTGGGCCACACGGGCCAAGTGCCTATACTTAAAAGTTTTTAAATTAAATATCAAATATAATTCATACTCAAATTATGCATGAAAATGAACCTAACCCTGTGGGTCAAGTATCTCTTCCCCAGGGCAAGGTTTGACGGCGATGACTAAATGTTCAAAAAAAAAAATTATGCATGAAAATGCTCCCCTATAAAACAAGCAGCAGAGCAATGCAATTTTTTGGCCCAAAATGAACGTAACCCATACTTTTTTACATGTCTCAAAATAAGAAGGCAATATTTAGAAGTGGCGGAGGGTGGGGGGCCTTTTTATTCGATAATGGGCTTTTTCCTCTTTTTTTTTTTTTTTTTAAGACTAACAGGCTAACGTAATTGTCATGTCCTCTCAATAACTGGACCTGAATCTTGAACATGAGATTGTAATTCCATTTTAGTGAGATGCATTCATGTTATCGAAACACTCATGGTCACAAAGAGACATCACTAACAGGCTAACATAACTTTTGCTCTACTGAAAGGAGGAAACTAAACTGAGGAATAAAACAAACCGATTGTTCAATAAAATGTCAAATTGTCTCAAAAGTCTGCTTGTCTCTTGGGTGGTCGACAATTGGAATAAGGTTTGTGCATATATATAAGTCCAACTCTGTTTCATACATTTTGCATGTGACTAGCACGCATAAAAAGTACATATGTAGGCAGCAAACATTGCGTGACAGTGTAAGATTGAAGCAATAGTAGCAGGTATTGATTCAGCAACTCATATGGAATTTTATTGAGTGTACTGAACTCGGCAGCAGTTGTTAGTAAGTAATTGCAGAAGATGTGCACAACTGCTCTAAGTAAGAAATCTAAATTTGCTGAGTGCCATGTGCACATTTTAAAAGATCATGTGCACTGCTGATCGCCCATACAACTAGAGGCATGGATAAGGGTAATGCAATAATACAAGCTCGACCCATTGTTGTTCTTACGAACTACCACTGCTGCTCTAATAAGATATTGAATTTTGGGGTATTGAAATGAAATGAATTCCACTCTTGCACACTTAATTGTGGAAGTAGCAATTACTGTCATCTGCTTTTCTGGGTTGGGACTTTAATGATGCCTTCCTCTTGTAGGAGTACTGGTAGTTTTCTGAGAAAAGGCGTCAGGTAAGTATTTAGGGCAAGTAATATCTCTTGGCTTTTGCGTTTTGGTCCTCATCGATCAATTACTCTGTGTCAACAGAACCAATTAGTTTGGCCACCAAACTATATAAATGACTTTGATGAATCCTACCTATTTCCTTTCATCAAATTAAGCCTCAAATCGTGGCAATTAAAAGGAAATGACCATAGCTAAGCTATTTGTACTCCAAAGATGATTACTAAGCTTTTAGGGTGATGCTTTTTTTCTAGTTTTAATTAGCCTATGTTTGGATAAAAATTAGTAAAGAAAAGGAGAGGGAGGGGAGAGGAAGGAAAGAGAGGAGAAGTGAAGGGAAGAAAAGCTTAATATTAGTTTTGTTTGGATAGATAAAAGTGGAAGGGGAAATATAATATTTTTATTTAATTAAATAATTTAATAAAAAATAAAATAAAAAAGAATACAATTTTTAAAATTTATTAATTAAATAAATAGTTAAAATAAAATGTTTATATATTATATTTTAAAAAAAATTAAAAAAAAATAAATTAAATAATGTAATCTGTCACGATCCTTCTAAATCAAAGGAATTGCAAACAGAAGAGGGGAAGAGACTTCATCTCCCTCCATCTCTCACCCCTCCATTAAAATTATCTATTCAAACAAGTGAAAATGGTCTCCCCCCTCACTTTCCTCTCTTTCCCCTCCAACTTCTTCAATCCAACCAAAATATAAAAGATTCATAAAAACTAACTCCTCGTAACTTCTTATGCAAGGCATTTGAATCTGCCTAAACAAAATGCGAAGCAAACTTTAGCATTCTAATTAACCAAGCCGCAATCCCTTGAATTTTCATGTTAGATTTATTTCTACAAAAAATTTTATTCAAACTTGAGAAGAATAAACCACATGCTAATCCATGCAAAAACATACCAACAGAATTGCACTAAACAGCTATTGAGAGAGAGGAAGATGAACTCACATTTAGAGCCCCAAGGTACACTTAAACATTTCTGATATATAAAAACACTTTCCATCAATCAAACTATAGCAAACATAAACTACATGAAAGAATTCCATAATCAAAACCAATTAAGTAGATGATTAATTAATAAAAAAATAGAATTAATATTTCTAAAATTAAGAAAGACTACTCATTTGACATTTTGAAGTAATATATCCAACAGTTTTACACCAAAACTTGAACTACCTACCTCTACCCAGCAGTTTTACTTCAAAACTTGAACTACCTACCTCTACCCAGCAGTTTTACTTATGTGGCTAAGATGGGAAGCTCTCTGACTTCCCCCTTTTGTATTAATTTTTGAACATTGTCCTCCCTCGCTCTATTGCTTTCTTTTGTTGTGCTAATGCATATGGAATTCATTTTGATCAACCCTGTTGATGTAAACCAGTTTATTTAATAATATCCTTCTATTTACCAAAAAACCAAAAAACCAAAACAAGAATTCAAGTTACAAATCAAACTCATGAAATATTAATACACCAAGAAGATATAATTAAAAAAAGAAAAGAAAAAAACAAAGATACAATAATATTTCTCTTCCCGCCAAACAGCCCCTTCCCTTTCCTTCATCTCCTCTTGTTCTTGCTTCCCAGCAACAAAGAAAAGTAAAACAGGATCCTGAAAAAGAATCCCCACGCCACCGTCACCCACAAGCAGTTCCACTTACTCAGGTCAGTCACTGCCTGCTGCTGCAGGATATCACTCCCGGTGGTCAGGCACGTTGAGTTTGTAATTGTCACTCCCAAGGTATTGCTCATATTCTCCAAGAGCTTCTCCTTCAAGGACGTTGAAACTGCCCCCAGTGGCGTGTTGTCGAAGATCTGAACCCCTCGGACGAAGCATTTTGTGGGGTCCTGGAACTCATTCTGCAGGACTGCCTCGTATGGGTACTTAACCAGGGACATGTAGTGGAACCAGATCCAGTAGGACGGGATCCGGTCGCGGGTGATGAAGAAGCCGCTGAGGAGGAGGAAGTACGCTAAAATGGCGACCACGATAGTGTACCCGAGCATCACGTGGGGGACGACGCCAGAGAGGAACGTGACGAACGAACTTCCGGCCCAGAATGATGCAAAGATAATTAGGAAATAAAACAAGAATCCGGTAAATCCACCGTCAAGCCCAACTGCCCAGAATGTGGTTGCGGAGAAAGCCAATGAGAGGAAAATTAGTCCTGGTAAAGCGACGAAGACATTGGATAAGCAGTAGGATGATCTCCGGTAAGCGTTGTGAGCGGTTTCTCTCATGAAAATGTACCGTTCTTGGAGGAAGACGGGGAGTGCGTCGGCGCAGGTGTAGAACGTGGTGGACATGGCGAAGGCGAAGAATCCTAAACGTTCTTGTGCTCCTTTGGGGGAATTATCGAGCTTCCAAAACATTGTTGCGAGAATAAACCCGGTCACCAAAACGGCACCTAATCTGATTCCGAACAGCTCCGGCATTCTCCGGCTGTTGGTTATTGACCTTTTTGACAATACAGCTATTTCTTTCCAAAATGGGTTCGCAAATGTTGGGACCATGGAAGAGGGGCTTGCGTTGTTGTTGGTGGCACCGGAGACGAGTTTGCCTCTGGAAATGCTGGCGCTTATTGCTTCTTTCAGGGACAGACCTTGCTGGTCGACGGGATCGGCATTATTTGTGTGCTTCTTCATGATTTGCCAGGATTTGTTGAACTCCACCAGACTTTTTGTTCCTCCAGGAGATCCTTCGAGTCCTCGTATTAGATCCAAGGCGAACTCCGTTTTGTCTTCGTTTTCTGGAATTGGATGCCCGAAATCGGAGAAAAACAGAGGCAGATTGGTCGGAGAACCGCTATAAACAGTGTGCCCACGAGACAAAAATATCAGTCGGTCCAATAGCCCCATAATCCGATAACTTGGCTGGTGAATGGACATCATCACTATGCTCCCAGTCTGTGCAATCCTTCGCAGAACCTTCACCACCATGAATGCGCTAGTTGAGTCGAGCCCTGAAGTGGGTTCATCCAGAAACAGAATAATGGGATCGTGGATTATATCAATCCCGATTGACACGCGGCGGCGTTCTCCGCCGGAGACGCCACGGTGGCCTTCATCTCCGATGACGGTCTTTGCGGCATTTCTGAGTCCTAATTGATCGATTAGAGCTTGCACGCGCATCTTCTTCTTGGATTTCGATAAAGTGCGAGGGAGTCGGAATTCAGCAGCGAACATTAAGGTTTCTTCCACCGTAAGCATCGGAAAGAGCAAATCATCTTGCATCACATAAGCCGATATAACTTTCTGCATCCGCGACTCCAACACTTCGCCGTTTAGAGTCACAGTCCCTTTCAAGCTCTCTTTCACAATTCTATTCGCCAACGCGTCGATTAGCGTTGATTTCCCGGACCCACTAGCACCGAGCACGGCGAGAATCTCCCCATCACGCGCCTCACCGGAGATGTCATTGAGTAGCGTCTTCGTCTTCGTGGAAAAACTCTCCCCATCGAGGGAATCCACCTCGGTAGGTGACGGCCGCCGCTGCCCCCTCATGATAGCCGGGAGCGCTATCTTCCGGCGAACCTTAACACTGTAAGTAAGGTTGTTGAAAGACAACACGAACGGAATCGACCGCGGCTCGCCAACGTCGACGAGGACCTGATCATGCCCCGGAGTCTCATCACCACCGGTGGCCTCCTCCCGTACATCCCCAACTTGCTTCAGCAACTGTCCAAGCGTCGGCAAAGTCGAAGCAGCGGTGTCGCGAGAGAGTCCCGAGGAAAGTTCCATGGAATGTGCGTAGAAAGCGGAAGCGTCTCTCTCTGGTGATATATTCTCCGCTGCAACGCGATACATTAGGTGCAATTAATCGTGATTTTCCTGGTCAAAATATCGGGTGTATTTGACAGAAATCCGGAGAAAACGCTAACGGCGTGAGCGGAGTGGGGGTGGCATGCGTTAGACTGCAATAACGGCGCTTCTCAGACCGCGTCTAACGTTCTTCACGAGCGCTGATCGTAAGAGGAAGAGGAAGAAGAAGAGGAGAGAGAAGGGAAGTGATTTTTGGTTGGTTTGGTGGATTTTTGCGATTGAGAAATCTATATATAGAAAATATAAAAATAAATTTGAAAAAGTTAAAAAATTAGGTGAAAAGTTTTGAAAAATGAATTTTAATTTTTGGGTTTTGCACTGTTGGGAGGTGAGAGAGAGGTGACCTAAATCATCTAATATGATGATATTTATACGTCTAGTTTTCCTGGAAGGGTATGGGGGGACAAGTGGAGTGATGTGATTGGTGGGATTTGGGTTTGGATTGACGGCATGCCGACACGTGGCGTAATGGGTTTGGGGTTTAAGTAATTAGGTTGGATGTTGATCTACTGTGTTACTGTGTAAGGCTTGTTTTTTTGTTCAAAGTAAGAAAGATTAAGCAGCAACTATAAGAAGGTAGGTTAATTAATGGTTTTAATGCCGAAATATGAGAAATGCTAGCTGCATGTCCAGCATTCGGGCTTTCATTGGCCTGAATGTAAATTTTTTAATTTAAATTATTAAAAAAAGAAGAAGAAGAAGAAGGAATCAATAAATAGAAGAGTGTTTATACATTCATGCTCATGCTAAGTAGGCATAGCTCTCTTCTAGAAATATTTGAGGACGGGCTAAAAAAAGACCACCAGCGCTTTATGCTTCTGCATGTCATAATCTATCCAATTAATTCAATCTAAGAATTTAGTGTATCATAACTAAGATGTGAATGATTCCATTAAATATGGCCAAGCGATTTTGGTTTGGCAAAACTTTTTTCTGAAGGGTTTTGATTACAATTTGGAAAGTAGGAAATTTTAATTTATCATTAAATAACAATTTTTTTAACTCAAAATCAATGTAACGATCTTCATACCCTGATTTAATAAACGGGACTCTTAATTAAAAGGGGATTACCTCCTATAAGTTACGTTTTCAAATTTTTTGATCGATATTTTTTCTCCTTAAATTGTCTTGTTTAAAAAAACAAAAAACAATGTAGCTTTGAAAGCTTCACCTCATTAGACATGACAATCAGATGATCTACCATAATGTAAATAATTTTCTAAAATTAGAAGTAAATTTTTAGAGAGAATAAACTTTGGTGCTTTTCTCATATTTCTTAAGTTCTTAGATGTCCAATCCCGAAGATATCATATCAACTGCTGAAGAAGAAGATCTAGAAACAATGATATTCATATTCTAGTTAAAGTTTCCCCTGTATCCGTTTGGTTACAAAAGAAAAGGATCCTCAATTGGTACTAAAATCCATATCTATACTGAAGGTTTTCTTTTAAAAGGGGGTTTTGGTGCCACTAATTACCAAACGGAACCCTCCATTCAGCATATTTTCATTTTCTTCCTTTGCAAATTCCTAGCAATAATCTAGAATACAAGGGCACCCAGAAAAGTAAAACCCCAAAGTAAATGTTGCCTATTCTAGAGGTTTGCTAGCTAATTTGGGAAATTAGTTTAGTGTCAAATCTAAAGTTTAATGCCAGAATCTAGAAATAGCACATGTTTTAAAGATGTTGTCTAATTTAATGGGTTCTGCCAAAATCATGCAGAATTTTATTTGATCCTTTCAAAGAAAAGGTACACTCTTCTCTTATGTAAGCTATTAGACTAATTGAATAACGACTGCACTCACCATCACCTTCGTCGTCATAATCGTCATTAATTTAATAGCTTTACCTAGAGTTAGATGAACTAATTCCCTTTTTCAAAAGGTAAGAATGTGTTTTAACAGTCATATCAAACCTAAGCATAAGAAAAAGGGACTTAAATGTAAGTTCCTGAAAGAAAAGTGCTTTCCAATTTGTCATTAAAGATGAAATGGAAACGCATTCTCAATCTTTTGCTTCCACAAAAGGCAAGGGAAGAAGATACAAAGGGTAAAAGATAGCAACAAATTGAAGAAACGAAATTAAAAAAATAAAAGAAGAAGAAAAGAAAGAAATATAGCAAGAGCTAGTTAATGATAGATAGGCCACCATCCCTCACCAAACGGGAAGCTAACTTGTACCTAAAATGAAGGCTGTCAAAACTGAATAGTCAATAATCTAGATGGGCAGACACTTGGGCATGAGCCGTGTCTGATACCTTTCACTTCTCCACGGCTTCAAAGTCAAAATTCTGAGCCGTATCATCAGCTATTTCAACTTTAAAGAGGGAAGGGATTTGTGTTTTCGGTGTTTCCTGGCTCAAGTGTTCACAAAATTAAAAGTAACCTACATCAGTATCTTTGATTTAGTGAAAAACTCTTTCGTCAAGCTAATGATAAAGATTATTCATTTCATCAAACCTTCCGATCTGGACTCAATTAGCTTGAAAATGTAATTTGATGCCTGCCTTCAAAAAAACCACCTATCACTACCACACTCAGGGAACTCAAAACTAACAAATTCCTTCTCATGCCAATCTCTGCCTCCAGTAAACTTGTGTGGTTTCTTGTATCATAGCCTACTTCAAACAGCTTGAGGTGAATGAAATACTGCTATTGAGAGTGGAATGCAAAGACAAATACAGTAACAAGTTCAACGACAAAAGATCTCACCTTCCTCAACTGCAGGATTAACATATACTCGAGTTATGTATGTTAAAAATCATCAAATAACAATGACCATTACAATAAGCAGTCTCAAAGTCACACTTTTAATCTTCTGTGAAATTCACTGCAAGATCCCAGTAATGAGCAACTCCAGCATCAGAAAAAACTTTTCGAGCAGCAGCTTCAGTCATGCATTCATGAACAGAGAACTTGTGGAAGCTTGGTTTGGCAACACTCCCTTGCCACACTAACATGCACTTGTTAATGGGTTTATCCTGGTTTCCATCTTCGTCCTCATCTTCCTCTTTGACAGCCTCAGCCCAGTTAATGCGCCTAAGCATAAGCTTTCCATATCTCTTAATGGATTTGCTTCCACCTTCGACAGCTACAACACTCATGCCATCAGAAATCACAGCACAACCAGTTAATCGATTCTCTTGGGCATTAACATCAACTTTAAAGCGGGTCTTAGGGTGAGAAAGGTTATTAATCTTGTAAACTGAAACAATGGCCTCCAAAGTATTTGGGTCATCAAACAGCTTTCTCTCTTTCTTTTCACGGCGCTCAGCAGGAGTGAGTTTCCGAGCAATGTTCCTGTCAACATGAGCCTGTTCACGCTCAGCAGCTGCAGTACGGATTTCCATTTCAAGCTTTGTAGGATCCTGAGTTGCTTCTGAGCCAAGCACTTTCATCAAATTACTCAATTTAACTTTTGGTTTTGGGGGTTCTATAAGCCCTTGTCTAATCATCTCCTGTCTATCCTTTTCCCTAGCTAAACGCCGCTGAGTGCGCAGTTTCTTCTGCTCCTTCTTAGTTAGTTTCAATGGTTGAGGTGGAGGAGGAGCTGACTCGGCAGGAGGCTCAATAGGAAGAGGATGTTCAACATAAATAGTGATCTTATCAATCTTCAGTTTATCTTCAGTCACCTCACCACTAGCTACATCACCATACGAACCAGTAGCCAGAAGAGGCAGATCCCTGAAATCCAGCAAGCATATTTGATAAATATCTCAACATAAGAAATGTTAAACAGAAGTGAAAAATTAAGCCTGCCAGCAAGCTCTTAGCAGTAAAGTAATAGTTGTCCCCTTTTTCTGAGGGCAAAGCTATTAAGGAATATTCAACAAGCCAAAAAATCTATCAGAACAGTGCTTTTCCCACCAATATAAATAGAATTTAGAACATTACCCCAATTCCAGAGAATGTTTAAATTTAAAATGAACAAAAAAGTTACACTTATCAGTATCAAAATGATTAAAACATGATGTGAAAGACTACAGTCAATTGAGGGAATCCAAGAGAATTATGTTAGAGACACATCAACTTACCACCACTCCACCTCAGGTATTGGGTCCTTAGGTTTTTCCTTGATGACAACTCTTTCAGACACCTCTATCAAATTTGGATTAATATCAGCCTTCACCTTTGCCAATTGTGCTTGCTTTGCCTTCAGCTCTTTTGCTCCTGCTTCTCCAAACTGACTCTGTAACAAGAAGAATTTTTTGGTGGTAAGAACTTTGTCACAATCAGATTATAAGCATGAAAAAAAGCAAAAACTCCAGTGGAATTGAACAGCATGGGGGCTAAAGACGGCAAGTAATACCTTCAACTTGATTATCTCAGCCTCTTTTGCCCATTTCCCCTCCTCTACAAACTGAAAAGTCATCCTTTTTGGTCTCAAAAGCTTATTCTTATTGATACCCATCCTAGCATCAAAATGAGGATTTGATTCTGGATCCACATCAAGTTCAGGTTTAAGAATCTGGAATGCTTCTTTTTTCTGTTTGTTAATGTTCACCTGGAAAAAACATATGATCACATTAAAGAAATGATACAGAGAGTTCAATAAAAGAACATATAATTGCATCATCGGGTAAGAAATAAACAAACCTTAAGAGTGCTGAGGTTGCTTGGTTTTGTCACATTTATGACATTCCCATGCTCATCTATTTCCCTACCAAGTGCATCAACACGGAGGACAGGGGCCTTTGTTGGCTTCTGAGCAGCAGAAACATCTGTTGGCAACTGCCCGGGGAACAAGTTTATAAGAGGTGCAAACTGGGGATCCTGGCGAAATCCCATCTTAGCAGCAAGTTCTTGAGCACGCTTAACAGCTTCTAAATTGGGTATTGCAGCAAGGCCAGGAACTGGAGCCCCTCCACTTGGAGGTGGCTTCACAGACGCTGGGGTGGCCTCCAGCAAGGCTGATGAGCTTGATGTTGAACCTAAAGTTGTTGGCACAGCAGTAGGGGAAATTGCTGATGGGACCGTTCTGCTTTGAACCACTCCAGCAGCAGCTCCAGAACTCGAGCTACCACCCTTGTTTAACTACAAATAACAAGACAAAACCATGACAATACACATTTCAAGCTATCAGAATCAAGAATGGAAAAGCATAAGTCCAATAAGAACTTACAGTAGGTATCTTTTTTAGCTTCTCAGCAAGCTCTTTCTGCATTTGCAAAGCTTTCTTAGCCTTCGCTAAAGCATCAAGTGAAAGATTTCCTCCACTTCTCCCAGCAGCAGCGGATGTTGCATCTGTACTTGCTGTTCCAATAACCTCATGAGATCTTGTAATACTAACTCCCTTATTTTCATTTGGGCTAGAAGTTATAGATACCTTAGTAGTAAGGGGGTGGTCAGATGCCTTAGAGTTTTCAGCATTCTTTGGTGCAACATTCAAGATGGATGATTCATGATAGGCACCCTGCAAGCATGAGAAAAATTAAAACAGCAACAACATTACATTAACAGAGAACTACTGCTTTTCAAAAGCTTACCCAAAAAAACTGCTTTTCAAACACACCAATCAGCAAATAAAACCATAAAATCCATCTCAGGATCAGGAAACATGTAAATAGAAACCACAAAGAGAGAAAAATGAGCAAACTCACATTCTCAACTGGCTCACCCCCTTTGGCAGCAGTAGCATCAGTAAACCCTTCCTTCACTTCTTCCTTAACCTTAGTCTCTGAATAGTTTGCTGGAACTTCCTTTCCGTCTTCCACTTCTTCCTTCACTTTATCTTCAAACCTTTTCCTCTCCCTCCTTTCATCTCTCTTTCCATCTCCTTCCTTTGCTCCATCCTCGAACTTCCTCCTCTCTTTTCTACCCTCAGATGAAACCCTAGCTCTTTTATCCACTCTCTCTTGGCCGTCCTCCCTCTCTTTCCTCTTCTTCCTACCTTCGCTTTCCATCTCCTCATAAGATCCCTCGCGCTTCAATTCACGATGTTTCGTCTTATCTCTGCTCTCCACTCCCTCACGAGATCCTCGCTTCGATTCCCTATCGAAGCTACCTTCTCTTTCGATTCTAAGTACAGGAGATCTCTCTCGCCTGTCCCTACTACCTTCTCTTTCGTCCCTGGAATCGCAGGACTTTTCGCGGTCGCGAGATGTTTCACGACCATCACGCCTTGGTGATTTGTAATCCGAACGCCCGTGGTTGCGATCGGAATCTCGGTGGCTCCGATGGTGCTTGTGATCACGGTGGTCTTCCGTAGAATCACAGTCACGGTCGTCCCTGGAGCGTTTGGATGATGATTTTTCTCTTTCCATGCTAGGGTTTTGGAAGAGGGATTACTCTCCCTTCTGAGTAATGGAGACAGGAGATTAAAGCAAGGGAGATAGAACTGGTTTTCGGATTTCATTGGCGTCGGCTAATCAGCGTACCGTTTAGATTAATGGGCTTTGCTCAAATAACCCAACTTTGTAATAAGCTAGGAGTAGGAGGTATCCACTATCCTCTGACCCAAAAAAGTAATCCACTATCCAATGTGTCAGCCCGGCCCCGAGATACAACGCCAATATGAAATAAGAAAAAGGAACAATGGAATTTCGAGAGCCTAGTAATGTAACCAGTAAGATTAAAAAAAGTTAGAATCGAAATTAGCTTAATCAAGGCAGATAATGAACAAAATTAGATCTATTGTTAGATAAGTATAATTTTATAATATAAATTTAGAGTTTAAGATTAGGTTTTAAATCAACACTTAAAAAAATGAAAACCTAGAGTTAAACTAAAAGATTATTTGTGAAAGCTTTGTGAAAAATGAAATGAAGATTGCACTAGGTTAGTTTGAGAAGGGCATGCATGTCTTACTTGACTTTATTTTTGTTTATTTATAATACTAAACATCTCTTTGTAACATGTTAAAAATTTACGATAATATGAAATCTGCAATAAATCAACTAACCCATTACCACCATCGATCATGCTCTTAAAAAATGTACAATTGAATTGTTTTGTTGATAATGCAAGAACAACCATTTAAGTTTTATCCGAGAGAAACTAGTCACAAAACTTAACCCAAATTAATGAAATCACCACATGGTATCTTCCCCCTAAGTATGTAGCAATTCTTGATTTTCCCTCAATTATCTCTAAAAATTTGCATCAATAAAATGATTTTTCTACATATAGAATATCTACCAATATTGATGACATGTAACATTATTTTATTAGTTGTAAAATTAGGTGTAAACACCATGTAAATTATAATTTAATGACATGTAATTGCCATATCATAAAAAAAAAAATTCATTTTAAATTAAGTTAACAGTCATGTTATTACTTAATTGATGGGAGAACTAAAAACTATAATATGTAGTGTTTATGGGAAAAAAAGGTGCAGAAAATAATTTATGAACTAAAAATCTTAAAATCTAAAATTTCGAGATTAAAATTAGCATTTAACCAAAATAAAAAGAATTTTTTGACAAAAATCTCTGGCACTTTAACATCCAATAGTAAAGCCAAACAAAAATAAAAAAAATTTTGGCTGCCTATTATGAAGCAGAAAGAGCACAGATATAGCAGTGACAAGGGACGGGGGTCTATGGAGCTAAAACTGCCCTTGTATGTCCCTGAAAGCCGAAGCAAATGTGTGCGACCACCAGTGCAATCATGGCATAAAAGGCACCAAACAAAGTCATAATTGAATAAACTAATGCGACGCTCGTAATAATCTATATAAATATAAAACTACAGGTGAAGGAGCACAGCGGAACTCGAGAGTACCAGGGCAATCGTGTTCGGAAAAACTAACACTTTGAAAGCTGGCTTTCTTATAAGAACTCAAGAGGGGCCATTGTTATTTGTAT